ACGGATGACCACAAAACCTCGTGGTGATCAAAGTTTATTTAAACGCGACTACTTTTATTGTTAAAGTTGATTATATAATTTTTTCTCGATTTTTTGTTTTTTGATACTTTTAAAAATGTATTTTAGTTATTTTTTGTATATTTTACACTTATTTTCTTTAAGATTTATTTTGAAAGTCGGAACAAACAAAAGTGTCTTTACGTCTTATCTTATTTCTTTTACTAAAAATAGCAAAACCCAATTTTTTAAATTATTGTATTTTTCAAAGTTTACAAAAAAATCTATTTAATTTCCCTTTTTATTGTTTTTGAGATCAATTGCATATTGAAATTTCAATACACCTCAAAGTCTATGCGTTATTATTTTTTCTTTGTTATTTTATGATGTAATTGATTTTGAATATTCCGGACCAGTATGTTTTATGATGCAATTTGGTCTTTGTTATATTTTATAATTAATTTTATTATTGTAATAGGTTGTGGACATCTCAATAAAATTTTGATCTGACTTTTCCATTGAACTGTGACTTGTTTCTGAAAGGATCAAGCAAAAAAGTGAACCTTTGTTCATCCCAACTTCAACAAAAAATTCACTTTTTTACTATAATTTATAACATTTTACTATAAAAATATACTAGAGCCGTCGTTCCAGGGTGTCTGGCTTTTTTGAAAAAATTAAAGAAAAAAGGTCACATTTACATTACAATTGACTAAGATTTTTATTTTTTTACAAATTTTGATTTTTCCCGTCCTCGAAGAGTTAATAATTGAGTCAAATTATAAAACTACTGCCCAAATTGAAAACCCTTGTGTCTATGTTGTGTTCAGTTTATGCGCCCTTTGGTATCGAAATTACAAAGGGCGATACTTTTCTGACTTTTTTTATATAGCGGGCTTGTTATAATTTCTACTTATTGATACATATTATATTTAATATTTTTAAATTAATGGAAATACAAACTTGAATGTTTAAGTTGGTATTGTTATATTGTGTCACTTAACTTAAATGACAGTTCATTTGCCATATTGGTTTAACACCACTTTTGGGGGGGTTTAATATTATAGCGTTGTTTTACCATATAAGATAATTAATTTAATGTTAATGTTGTGTTAATACAACAACGAACAAAATTAATAGAAAGTAGTGGGGTTTTATCGTAATATTTTTGATGTTATTTGGTTCTCCAATTATTTTTCGTTTGAGTAAAATCCATTTTTTATTTCGACAACAATATTTTTGTTATGTTCTTATTTTATTTTGGTTTGAACCAATCTTATTGGTTATATCAAACCTACAATCTTGCACACTTTTTAAGTGTTTTTTAAGAAACTTGAATATCTGATAATATTATTTAATCAATTTTAATTAACATTTTTATTTGTTTATAAAAACAGTTTATTTTCGTATTATTTTTATTACAAATATTAATTTGTTAAATTACATATTTTATTGATTGAAGGACGAATCTTTAACAAAACCCAATTAATTTGAGTTTATGAATGATGAAATGTTTTATAAATAATTCAAAAGTTTGAATTTAAGTTGAACTATTTTATCAAATAAGTCAAAAATCATTCTAAATTGTTCATGAAAAGTCGTCATTATTTTCATTTTTTGGAAAAGTGAAATTATTTTTTGAAATTTTTTCTGAAAAAAAAGAAAAAAATAAAAAATTTTCAGTCCTCGAAGGGTTAATTTAATATTAATAACTCAGAAGCAAAATAAAACAACACACGTTTTCTTGTATATTTTAAGTAAAACATACCTATCAAAAAATGAACACTTACTAAAAAACTGTAACCAGTTTATACCGAAGTTGTCCTCGAGGTCATTTAATTTATAATTGAAAAGACTCTGTAAAGAAAAACTAAAACGTGGTTTAGCAATCAATTAAATTGCCACAAAACGGAATAATAGTATACCCAACACAATAAGGCTTGTAAACATTGGTTGATGATGATGTCTCGGGTAAAAATAAAATCATCGCTATACTGCTCCCCAAAATAAATGCCAAGTTTTAGTGAACTCTTTTTACAGATTGTCGATTCAAATTAGCCGACAACTGAACATTACCCCTTAAAACTATTATTTTGGTAGTTATTTTTTCTATCACATTTAACAACAAAACCAATGAATTTTCAAACTTTTCTATTTTTAAAAAATAATGATTTAAATATTTTTTGAATTAAAAATTTAGAAACAAAATTCAAATTGAAAAACAAGGAAATTTTCTCGAAGAAATCAAAAACATCGTCGAGGCGGGCCAAGTTGTTTAACCTTTAAATCACCAATCAACAAACCCAAAAGAAAAAGTAACAATATCAAGACAGCAAAACAAGCTGAATGTTGTGAAGTCGTATAAAAAGGGAGAAGTGACAGATGCCTTTTACATTCAAGCACTGCAGACCGTTTCATCGTTTGCTACAGATGAAGAATTTGAAAGAAAAATGAGCGCAGTGGAACAAATACAGCATTTAAAGATTCGTTATAAAGTGAGCAATAAAACACTTGGTCTATTATTTGGTATTACCAAAGGAGCAATATCGACACATTTAAAACAACAAGTATCAGAACTCATTCTTGTGAAATCAACGAAACAATGGATACTGCAATTGCTTATTTGTTTGATTATCGTGATTCACTCTGTTTAAGTGTAACTCCAACATTGATTGATTTCCTTTGTCAGTCTTTTAATTACAAGTTTGAAATGACAAGAAAGGGAATAATCAAACATGTTAAAAAGTTTCATGGTTATGATGTAGTTCAAGCCAAACCGGAAGAAATGGAAAGAATTGAAACTAATTATAAAAATGTATAGAATAACTATTTGACATTTGTAGAAAATTTCAATGGAATCGAATCCGCTCTATTGTTCAACATTGATGAAGTGGGATTTAATGAGTGGGCAGATAAACAAAGTGTTTCTGTCTTCAGCAAATCCGGAAATGGTGTCAAGGTTGGTATACCAAGAGCATCAAAAAAGCACAATCATTGCATGTATTTCGGCAGATGGACAATTTTCCGTCCCAGCAGCCGTTATTCCAAAGATCTTTATTGATGAATATGTGTTAGCTAAATACCCAAATTTGTCTTTGTACAACTCGAAGACGGGGTTTGTCAATTAGCTAATTTTTAAAACTTGGATGTATGAAGTTGTTTTTCCTTTTATTGTTAACAAAAGAAGAACACTAAACTACCCACCAACTCAAGTTGTTGTCATCCTTATGGAGAACTTCAGCGCACATGTTAGTGATGAGCTTAAAGAAATATTTTACAACAACTTCATTTGTTTTCATTTCTTCGAGCCTCATTCAAGTCATATTGTCCAGCCACTCGATTTGTGTCTTTTCGGCGCGGTCAAAAAATTAAGCACATCTGCAACACCGTTGTTCAGAAGTTCAACTAGTACCATTCAAACAATTTCACAACCAACTCGAAGTGGTTTCACTTCTTCTACAACAGCAGACGTGTTGATAAATGATGGAGTTTCTCTAGACAACTTAGTTGCTTCATGGATAAAACAACTTGATGATCCCTTGAGTAAACGCGCAACTTCGGATGAGAGAGCAGCACGAGGAAGTGTAATTTCGGAACATTTGACTAAAGTATTGAAAATCATTGAAAAAAGGCAACAAGAAAAAAAATATATAGTCTTCATTCCATCGAACAGGCTTTGTGGTTGTTGACCAAGTTAAAAACAACAATGTATTTGTAGACAACAAATCAGCAGGTGTGTTTATGCGTTTGACAACTGCCAATACCTCTCCATAAGAAATGGTTAAACTTTCTGCGCCGCAATCAATCACAACGTTGACTAGAGTCAAATAAGTAACACCGGAGAGTGTAAAACAGCTTGAAGAGTACTGTCTCGGCATTTTCAGGTATTCCATTTTTGATTTTGAGATTAAACTCTTCTTGCTCTTGTTTTATGGAATATGTAATTATTTCCCGTTTTTTCACATTCGACAAAAAAGGGGACTAAAAATCAGTATCAAAAAATCACTTTTTTTCTTTTTGTGTGTGTAAAAAATGAAATTACACCTTAAAAATTTAGTAAACATGTTCCAAAACTAAAAATAAAAGGACTGTTGTCGAGTTACCGGACTAAGGTCCAGTGGGACTATCTGTAATTGGTTTTCATTGTTAGAATTATAAGTTTTTAATGAAACAAAACCAAAACAGATCGATAAAAATACTTTGTTTTTTATCGATAAATTTAAAACAACTTATATTATCTAAACACTGTCCCGTTTTTTAAGTTCGAAAAAAATTAGTTGAAAATTTTTTAAAAGAAAAAAACTCCTTGAAAAGTTTTTTCACCCAATTATTCCTCCATCTGTACGACAAATGGACGCCTTTTACTGTAAATATATGTAAAATGATTTTTGGTAAACAACAATAAATTTAATAATTGACTTTTTATTTTTGATAAATAAAATTGAAAAAGTCTTTACATTTTTAATTTTTATAGTTAACTCTGTGTTTTATTATATAGAAGCGTTGTTACAAACAAACTATAAATATGCTATAATTATTCACAACAAAACTATACGGACTATCGGCTTCTGTTCTACTTTTTTACCAGTAATCACCTCAAAATAACAACCACGTGTGTGCATGTAATTTTAAAATGCCACTTTAAATATTTGATGTACGAAATCCCGATTCTATTTGTTATCCAATCGCAAAATACAACAATTCAATATCACTCATTATGCCATATAAAAATGCGTTTTACGAATTATTTACTAACTCCCAATAGAATACAAATTCTATATTTATAATACTTTTTGTTACCAAAACGCACTTTTGAAACAAAATAAGCAACTGTCCACCAAAAAAATGAAAATGCTAGAAACAAGTACAAAATCCGCCACGAAAAAAATAACACCCTTGATACCAAGTGAAAACCGCTGACTTAAATCGGCTTTTTTCCACATTCATTCCTTTGTACTACAGATATGAATTCTATGCCTAGAACTTTTTGTTATTCAAACTTGATGAGCGGGAATGGGCAAAGTGACCCTTTAATTCCTCATGCGTCGTCGAATGTGAACCTCCGCATTTCTGATCGCATTTTCAACACGATATTTTCAGTCTTATATCACGCGCGATACATAATAGTAGCATTCTGGTTTATTACGTTCTTGGGGTTGTGTTACCCAGCCGTCAAGTTCATGTCATCTACCACACTTCTAATACATCCGCCTAAAGGGACGCCATCATACAACGCCAATAAAATCGTTGAAGAGAAGTTTCCTGATTCTATCGAGACAGGGCAGAATGTCATCACCATAAGTAGAATAGACAATACAACAGTATTGACTCAATACACGGAGGATCTGTCGAAACAAATCAAAGTCTGGCTTGACCAACAGCCTGTTGTACTTCACACATTTGGGTACTATTTACTTCCCGCATCCAACACGACTTATTTGGACTCTTTTGCTCTTCAAATAGCGCGACATGAATTTGTGGGAGAAAATGGCGATGTGACCATAATCACTATAGGTACTGACGAAAGACTTTTCAGTGATATCCCACGATTCATTAAACACCTTCGTAAAGAACTCGACACTTTAAACACCGACAGTGCACATTACTATGTCGGTGTCACTGGATTTGAACCAGCAAGTGTCGACTTACAAAGTGAGATTATAGTCTCTCTCTTTAAGATGGATGTCTCTGTGATCCCAATAGCTTTTGTGATCTTGTTGTGGGTTATTAAGTCACTTCCCTTAATGATTATACCATTGTGCACTATGATCACGTCATTTGTGTGTTCTTTTGGAGTCATGTTTCTGTTCACATTTGCATTTAGTGTGTATGGCATTGCGCCTGCTTTAATGGCTTCGTGTGTGAGTGCCATGTCGATTGATTATAGTCTTTTTCTTTTGACTCGATTTAGTGAAGAGACTTTTGTCGATCAAAGTTTCTATGAAGCAGTTAAAAACACATTACAACACGCTGGAAGAATCATAGCCACATCAGGTGGCCTGATCACTCTGTGTTTTGTGTCGCTATGTTTCTTCCCTATTGACGTCATTTTCAGTTTAGGGTTCTCTGCAGCACTCTCGATATTTTTTACAGTAATAATTAACTTAACTTTGACGCCATCACTTCTTAACATGTTTCCCGTCTTCTTTTCAAAGCGTGGGTTCATTCCTTGTATTAAAAAGTGTCAGAATTGGGCCGAACAGAAAGAACGAGCATATAGTCCACAAAACACTCTTTGGCACAAATTCGCAA